GGTATTAGCTTTTATTTGGTGACATCTGCAACCTGGGCTACCATGCAGCTTGATAACGAAAAGCAAAAATAGAAGCTGGTTATCTTCTCTGATGGCCATAAATCTCTCTGTAAAATAAAATTAATTGGAATATACTGTTAAGGGATTGGAGTGAGTGTGGAAAGCAAGGGGGATACTGCTATTCTCAAGTCTTTTCCTTAACATCCATTTACTCATTTCCACCTTATTTTGCCTCTGTTCTTGCTACTAGGAATACATTCATACAGTAATAGAGGTGAAAGGGGAGTTTAATTATATAATCTTGACAATGGCAATAGGATTAAGAAGTAATCCACACTAATAAAGTGGTGTGGGTTAGAAATGAAGTGGAAATTGTCAGGGGTCTTCTGTAGGACCTAGGCTGCCCTGACTCCTGCAGCTGTCTGCTTACCCTATAATTGAATGTCTGAGAGTGATTGAAAAAATGTTATTTCTTCTCAGGATTACATGCTAATGTACAGAGGGCAAAAGGAGACAGCAAAAGAACACATAGCTGCTTATTTCATCCATTTATAGGGATGAGCTTTGGGAAATCATGGCTGTTCTGCCGCTATCTGCTGCCCATCTGCAAACACAATGTATTTGTACGTTGGGAATAGAGGGCAAAACCCGCTCTGATCTCCGCAGAGCATCCCTTCTATTGTCCTACAGGCACACATTAAGATTGATGTGAGATTAAGGACCATCACCCTTCTAACAGTCAATGGAAATGTCAATTCATCTGAATTTTGAAACACTTATTCACCCATTGATTACCTGCATAGGCGCACCTTGTTGAGGCACTATATTAATTCAGGACTACAAGTGCCATTCTTCACTTCGGCTGTTTCTTCTTCTACAAGATTTGTGCAGTGATTAATTGGCATGGAATCAAATTCATTCTATATGAGTGTTTGTATATTACATAATTATTGCTTTCAGTTCTTTACTTTTATCTCTAATATACTTGATGCTGTTCTATTTGTAGTGAATCTTTTGTTTCTAGTAGCAGTCTGATTTGTCTCTTTGATAAGCCCTGTGGAGATTTGATTATTCCAATAAAAATTCATTCACTTGGAAACCCACCCTCCAGCTGTTTACTCCCAGAGTCCCTGAACTACACTAATATTAGATTTGGAAGCCTTGAACAATATTTAACAGTGGAGAGGAAGTCTTAGAAAAGAGAGATATTTTTACCAGTCTTTGTTGGGTAAAATTCTTATACAAAAGGTTTTATGTCAAACTAACACAAAATCTTTATCAGACAATACGGTCTATCAGAGAATTTCCCACTTCACTAATAAGCTGGTGGTTGTTTCATACTCAAGCCTCAGCCAAAGTCTAAGCTCACCTCTGGCCTTGGAAGCCTATTGAGGCTTCCTTGCTCCTGATTATTATTCCATGTTGTTTGATAGCCGGAGGCTTGTTTTCTAAATGGAATGTGGATGGACTTATTTAGGGAGAGCCACCTTCTTACCCAGAGAGGAGACTAAAGCTTTTCCCATCCCTTGTAAAATAAGTGCATTGTAGTTTACCATTATCATTACCTGCCCGTTATAAATCTTCTGAGAATTCTGACTTTGCATTTTCAGAGGAAGATTTGGGGTGGGCAGAATACGTAAGTGTAGAAGGAATTAGGTAATTTGGAACTAGACGTGAGAATCTAAAAATTAAGTTAAATTTCTAGTCAGATTTGATTTTTTGAAAACTGTTACTCCAAGTCATATGGCTTGTCTCTTTCTCTTGGCAGGTCCTGTTAGCCTGAGCACACCAGCTCAGCTTGTGGCCCCCTCTGCTGTAGTAAAGGGCACTCTTTCGGTCACCTATTCTGAACTCTATTTTGAGGTGGATGAAGAGGATCCTAACTTCAAGAAAATTGACCCCCAGGTGAGAAGATGAGGGAGTTTTATTTGTTTTTATGATGGGGTGATGGGCTGCTGTGAGGTAGAGTTGGCACTGGTAAAGTCTCACAGGCTTGATTTGAATTTCTTGGGGAATTGCCTCTGCTTACATGAAAGGCTGTTTTCTAGCTTATGATTCCTTTACCATCTAGTTAGATTACTGAAGTTCATTTAGATTAAAAAACAGTTTCCATTTAATTGCATTCATCATTAGCTCTTTGTTAGGAGGGAGACCTCAGGGAACATTGTCTATAAGTGTATTTTGTCTCAAAAGGTCCAGGGTGAATTAGGCTACAAAATTCAGTAAGATTGAGAGTGGAATTATTTTGTTTAGCCTTTATGTTTTCTGGATATAATACCAATATATCATTCTCCTTGCTTTGTTCCCATGACTTACTACTCTGTCCTGCACGCAGGCATGTTTCGTGTGTGTGTGATACCTCTGTTTCCCATTACCTACAGGAGATTTTACAAGGCACTGCATAATTTCCTATTCTTAAATGGAAATGTAATTTCCCCTGTAAAATGTATTTGTGATTACTTTTTAGACCTTGGCAACTTGATTTTTACTAAGAAACCTTTGTATTTCCTAACAGTCATAAAGTCAAAGTTACATTCATTTCATGAATGTAAATGGTAGAATTTGCTCTGAAACAGTTTCTTTTAAAATGAGCAAAATAACCTAAAGAAAAAGCAGTAGTTTAAAAAATAGCATAATGTATTTTACTGGTTATGTGTGTACACATCTACACATGTACACACACACTCTTGAGTGTATTGAGAAAGTTATTTGGTTTTGAAATTATATGTGAATTATTAAACTTCAATTATTTAGAAGTATTTCAAAGTATTTTATTGATTAAAATGTTAAAATTTCCCTTAAATATTTTACAAACAAGTCTTTTTTTTTTGGTCTTATGCATGATGCCAGTGCTTTGTTTTTATGTTGTTGCCTGTGTTAAGACAGGGCTTGTAGACTGTGTGACTGGAAGGCCACGAAGGAACGGATTCTTTTGAGTTGGATAATTCAACTAATCCAATGTAGAAAGAACTTTAATTCTGAGATTACATGACCTAGAAATTTTTTTCTGCTTTGTTGATGTCTGAAAATGTGTTTTAATTTCCTTAGGCAAGAAAGGTTAGGAAAATTATTTAAACTGCCGGATTTCTGGTAGTTTGTGAATTTAAGAGAGGCCAAGATTTAATTCAGAATATTCTGTTATGGTTTTTGAACACGCATGTGGCTTAAAGTCTAAAATCTGATTTAATTTAAATGTGTCTAATGAATTGTTCTCAAAATTAAAATCTCTGCCAATCCTTGAGATTAGGTTCTTTGAATCTGTTTGCTCCTTAGGGAAAAGCTATATCTTTTATTTCTCTCTGATCTTCTTCTGTAGCATCATTAAATAATTTTCTCTGTGTTGCTTGTGAAATATGGAATTATGTAGCTTAATCATAGAAATCATTTTGTATAACAGTATCCTACTTAATGTCTCATAAATGAAAGCTCTTGCCAGTTCATATTTAAAGTTCTTTTCCAGCCAATTATTGGAATAATTTTTTATTTTGTATAGACATCGATGCTTTAAGGTATTTTGTAAATAACATTTTGCTGCTGCAGTGCCCCCCCCCCCGCCATTACGTAAGCAGGAAGAAAGATACTGAATTTGGGCTGAATTTGGGCTATTTTTGTTTTTTCTTATCAAGACCTAACTTTCTTCATGGATTAGTTGGAGAAAGTTTCTAATGCTGTAAATACTTTTTTGATTGAAAGAATGGTCATTTTAAGATAGCATTTTTATCTTTTATACTAAATATTGTGCCCTTATATTATTTCATGCAAGTACCCACTGCTTGCTTTGGAAATGTTCTTAAAATTCAGACCACATTTTCCCCAGAGAGTAAATTTGTTTTATTATTTTTAAAATGAGTGTTCTGAATTAGTGAGTTTGTTTTATATTTACAGGAAGAGAGGCAAGAAAAATACATAGATATAATATACATTGAAAGGGTGGGGATGATTTGAGAACTGATAAGACTAAAGTTTATGTTTTGAACACAACACTACTTTACCAGAGAATTTTTACCAGGAAACCATTCAGCATAAGCCTCCTCCATCAAGTGAGCAGGCTCAGACCCCTGGGTAGCTCTGCTGTGTCTCATCCCTGCCTGCTGTCCTGAAGCTCACCCTCCACTCGAACCTCCACACAACTTCTCATCTGAACACTCCCTTTTAGAATGTTTTTCTCCACACCTCTCATTTATAGGTTTTTTAAAAAACTAGGCTAATTCCAAAATACAATTTATATATTAAAGATAACATCTGCCATATTCTGTACCTGTGCCTCACATGAGCAAGGCTCATGAGGTATATATTTCCTTCCAGCATAAAGACAAACCAGCTCTTTTAGGGTACTTTCATTTTTATTATTTTATATTCCAAACAGTTATTTCCTTGAGTTAAAAAGAAACCTTTGTCAAAAAAGTTGAAACACAGAAATGAGTTAATTGGATTGTTACCTTAGAAAAGCAGAAAAAGAAGGATGAGAGAAGGAGGGTACTTTTTCTATTAGTAATTCTTGGGACAGATTTTCTGTGGTCATAAAAATGGTATCAAAACCTTCTTTGTTTGAGGTGTCTGTAAGCAGTTTCTTGAAATGTGATCAAAATGATCATAGGTGCAGCATTAATCATTAAGCCCTTGAAAAACTGAAGTAATTTATAAATGCAAATTGTTTCTATTACTAGTTGCTAGAGGAGAGGGTTATTGCTGTACCAATTTTATCTTTCAAAGTGACTGATTTAGTTAAAATATTACTCAAAGCTTGAAGAAGACAGGTGATTGAAGGTGAAATACCAACTTCTTTATTCAAAAAAGATCCTTAAAATGTTCCTTTGTGTTGGATTTTTTTTAAATTATGGCATAAAAAGTAAATCATAATTTTTTTGTGAAAATTTTTATTTTAAAAATTAGGGTGAAATTGTTCTTCCATATGGTTTTCTTTTTACAGCTATGAAATGTTAATCTTAAAATCTACAGAACAAATATCCATGTAATTGAGTAAAATTAATATTGTGTTTTCTAAGGATTTTGGTGGGAATTTATGCAGTTAATTCTTCAAAATGCGCTGAATTTTAAATGTTGTGAGTCATAGTTCATGAAGCTTCTTGCATTTAGTTCTGAAGTTCATGTCTTTTATATTGTGAATTAAAAGAAGTGATCTCACCTGCCTTCATTTAAGAACAATCCGCAGCAGCCAGTGCAATGTAAAGTCGCATTTTTATTACTGTTTTCAACAAGACGTCTTAGGGAGAGGGGTAGAGGTGCGAGGGGGCACAGTCTGACATTGGCACTGAGATACATTTAACATCAGTAAAACTTTTTTAAAAGAGAAATTTTACATATAGTTAAATAAATTTTTCACTTGGTGACAACATTCAGGCAACCAAAAAAAACTAGGGGTGGGGGAGATAACGAACATGGGGTGAAGGAGGGACGGGGATAAAGAAGGAAAGGGGGAGACTACTACACATTGATTTGAAAATGTACCTTGGGTTTCATTTTGTGATGGCAAAGCCCGATTGCTTCTTTTGTGTGACCTTTTAAATTCACATTGTTTTGAAGAAAACGATCACTTTTGTGCAAGAACGTGATTTTTTTGGTTGGTCTGCTCTCCTTGGTTTGCTTCTTAGTTAGCGAGGTCTGCTGCCCGATCCCTCTTGCTCCAGGTGACTCACGGAAAAGTTTGCGTCCCAAGTTTCCGCCGTTGGTCGCTGAGCGGTGCGTTGTGTGTGAGAGAGCACGCTTTTCAAGCCGTCCGCAGCGCCCTATAGTTTGTCCAGGCTTTTGGGATTGGTGAGGATTTCCCTGGCCAGCCTCCAGGTCTGCTTGGCAGCGCTCTCCAGGGCCGAGTGGGGCTTGCCCTGGAAGAGGTCGAGGTTGGGCAGAAAGTAGTGCGGGCAGCGGCGGCACTGCAGGCAGGAGATGAGCTGCAGCAGGATGCCATTGAGCCGGTCGCCCAGGCACGCCTCGTCCCAGTCCGTTTCCCGCGGGTGTTTCTCGCACTCGTAGAGCAGCAGGGTCTTCATGTGGTAGTTATTGAGGGGCTGGCCCGGCAGCTCCAGGTGGCGGTCTCGCAGCGTCTTCAGCACCGAGAGACACTTGTTTCGGCAGCCGCCCATCAGCAGGCGGTTCTCCGCCTCCCCGAACTGCAGCACCCAGGCGTCGCTCTCCGCCGAGCTCTGCTTGCCGGTCAGAGAGTAGCACTCCTTGGAGAGCAAGTTGAACCCTTCGGCCTTGACCTCCGCCACCCGATTGGGGCCGGGCCAGGGGATGTGGGGCATGGGCCACTGAGCCGCGCTGCGAGGCCAGATCCCCGTGCACTTGAACGCCGGCGTAATTTGCACCACGTAGCGCTCCCTGATGCGCAGCTTGACCTCGCTGGTGTCCGCGATCATCTTGACCACGTCCCTGTAGCTGCACTTGTCCACCGCCTGGGCCACCAGTGTCTGGAAGCGCGAGCGGATCTTGCGCGCAGAGAGGTAGCCGGACGCCGTGATGAACTCGACCCAGAGGGACATGCTCCGCTTCCGCCCGTCGCTTAGCTTGAGCACCGCGCAGCCGGGCAGCGAGCCGTCGTCCACGAAGTTGAAGACGCCCATCTGGTTGAGGTAGAGCACCACCTCGAATTCGGTGGGCGAGATGACCTCGAGCCCCTCATAGCGGGCGTCGATCTCGCTGAGGGAGCTGATGAAGCGGGGCTCCTGCACCTCCACCTCCTTGAGCACGTCCGAGACCACCTTGCAGACCTCCCGGATGGTCTTGGCGATGGCCGCCTTGCGCGCCTGGCAGCGCTCCGTGTAGTATTTATTGAGCTGGTAAACCAGCTTGGCCTGGGCGGCGATCATGTTGGGGCACAGGTCCGGGCTGTACACCGGCGTCTCGCAGTAAGCTGAGGGATCCAAGGCTCCCGCGCTGGTGGTGGCCCTGCGGCTTTGCGAAGAGGCGGTGCGCTCCCCCAAGCCCCACTTCGATCCCCACCTGGGCTGCCGGCCGGTTTGTAGCCGGCCCGCCTGCTCTTTTCCCGCGCTGGAGACCCGCAGAAAAGTAGAAGGTGATTTTTTTTTGAGGGGGGAAACCCTGCTGGGACTTGGGGGAGGGGGTTCTCTTCTATAAGTAAAATAAAGACAACCCTGTGCGGGAGAGTGAGGGGAGGGGTGCGGCGAGAGAGAAAAATGCAAGTTACCAAGAGCTTCAGGCTTAGATGTCTGCCGCCCAGATTGTCCAGATATCTGGAGATGAAGTCTTTTAAGTACCAAAGTAAATTTAAAAATAAGAGCAAAGCATTCGGCGGTTCATTCTTAAAACTTCTCTCCCGCGCTGGTAGGCCTTCTCCGCCTGGTCTAGGTGACGGGTCCTCCGCGCCGCCCCAGCGGGGAATCGGGCTGCCGCCGGGTCCGCCGCACTCGAGGTTTGCGGGCGTCCCGCGGGCTCCGCGCGCTCTTCTCCTCCGGTGGTCGCCTCGTCGCAGTTTTTCTCTTTTCCTACTGGAGGCGTTGTTTGGATTGGGTTGGTGTATTCCTAGTGGGTCCTTCTTGTCTTTCTCTAGGTGCAAACCTCTGGAAGTTGTTTGATACTCATTTCTGCTTCGTAATTTATACCTCTGGCCCTCACAAAATCTATTTTAGTGTGACGAAGTCCTTGCTTGCGTTGCATCTGGCGTGTAGTTAAAACGATCCAGGGTTTTTCCTCTCCCCCAGGTTGCTTGTGCAGATTCCACTTTGAGTCGACTCTCTCCCTCCCTCCTGTCCCCCTCCCCCTCCGACGATCTCTGCTCTCTCTGCTCTGTCTCTCTGTCTCTGCCTCTGCCTCCCTCTCTCTCTCCCTCCCTCCCTCTGCCTCCCTCTGCCTCTCTCTGCCTTCCTCCCTCCCTCTCTGCCTCTCTCCCTCTCTCTCAGCCTCTCTCTCTCTCTCTCTCTCTCTCTCTCTCTCTCTCTCTCTCTCTCTCTGCCTCTCTCTCCCTCGCTGTTTCCTGGAGTTATTTAGTTTATGAATGGTCCCACGGCCATCACGAGGGGGTGGAGCTTCGGTTCCTACAATCCCCATCCGAGCTGTCAGTGCTCTGGCCAATCCGAGAGAGAAGACAGGCACGCTTGGCGGACGGTAGCAGCCACTTGATAAGAAAGGGGGCAAAGAGAGAAGTAAGAAGGTAGGGGGAGATAGTAGAAGTCAAATGCTCGCACACATTTTACAGCCCCACTTCATCTTCTCTTTATCAGTTGCAGAGAAGAAAAGGAGAGTCTCTCTAGAAGAGATTCTCCTGGAAATGGCTGGAATAACGCGAGGGAGAGTAGCAGTGGTTCAGAAAGGTTCACTTTTTTTTCCCCCCAATTCTCTCAACATTGCAGGAAAAGGTGCAGACTCGGACAAAATTACTTTGGCTGGAAGGCACACGGGAGGAGGGAGGGGAACTTGGGAAAGGACCTAATTTTTGTAGGTCTTTTCTTCTAGTAAAAGTCTTTGCCTCTTCTCCCTTCCCATTGTTGCTAAGAGCCAGAGCTGTGGCCGCGTGCTCCAGGGTGTGGGGGTGGATATGGGGGGGGGGGTGGCCATAAATCCGTTGTCAGTCATTTCCATATGCTGTGGAAAAACGGGGCAGGACCATAACTAGTCCAAGCACATTGTTTGGTAACTATTTCATAATTAAATTCTAATGTATTTTATGTCATTATTTTATCATTACAAGAATTAACCAGTTAGAGAGAAAATATGTCCTGAGAAATAGTGCAAATTTATATGGTGGAATTTGGCAGGATATACTTGTAAGTTAAATAACCTTGTAGAATTGCACCAAACTAAATAATGAAGGGAAGTGAATGTGAGCCTGAATTAAAGTTTTCTTAATATATTTATGTAGGTTTAATTTGAACATTGTCAGGAAGTATAGTTTCATTTGTAAAATGACTTTATTTTCATGATTGACTTGCTTCTAAAAAACTTGACTGCTACAGAAATCTATAACTATCCTGTTATTGATTATACAGATGGCTTCACTCCTCCTTTGGCATTTCAGTGGAAGCGTGCATGTGCCTTTATTAATGTAGGTATTATTCTTGACAGGCTGTACTTGTCATAGCCTTACAGAACTTTTGGATGAGACAAAGCTGTAACATTGTTTCTGATTTGCTTACTATTGAAACTTTATCTTTGAACCCAAGGTGTATGGATCTGAGTCGTTCTAAGAGATTCAAGTAGATGGGGTAGGTTTTAGTTTGCTTTGGGAGATAATATACCAAACTTGGGTTATGTAGTAAAAATAAAAATCTATGAAGCCATTTAGGCAGACCCTTCCTTTTGCAAAACGCTGTAATGTGGCTTTTACAGAATCCCTTAGAAGTACTCGATTTGCCTTCTTAAACTCCTACCACGTGAACCTGAATTCAGCTGCATAGGGAAAGTTAATTTCTCTCCATCTTCTTGGTGTCAAACACCTGGAGCTCCTGGACCTGTCTCAGTCTGGGTGCGATCCGCTGGCGGGTTGTCACCCTCTTCTCCAAAGCCCCTTTCTAGAGAATATATGCGGGTTTTTTTCTTTTTATAATCAAGCCGGATTTATTGCTAAGGATTGATCTTTAGTGGTGAGGACTTGGGAAGGACAGTTGTAAGTAAGCTACGGGAAAACTGCGGAACTCAGAAGCGGGTTCCTCCGCTACTCGGAGTGGCGGACTTGGGCGCGCGCGGCGCGTAAGGTTTGCGCGTGGGGCAGCCGCTCTGGTGGGAGGCCGCTGGGGGGCGGGGGGCGCTTGGCAGCAGTAGTTGGGTGACTGGAGAGAGAGGATCTGATCAACTTTTCCCCGAGGCAGGTTTTGGGCAGAGACTGGTGGCAGGGCCGGAGGGCGCGGAGCCGACCCTTCCCATCTTCTCAGTGGCAGCGTCTTCGCCGCCCCTGCTTTTCGAGTGGCCCGGGACGCACCCGGGAGCGAGTGTTTGCAAACAGCCCCGGGCCCCCTCGCGCCGGGTCCCGATTCCCGCATTTCTCCACTGTAGCATAGAGGCTGAAAGATGATAAAACGTTACAAACGTTTTGATTTAAAAACAATTCATTACCAATTTACCCTAAGTTAGATGCTCTAGTAAATAATAAATCAGTTAAACAAAGGCGACTTTAATTTATTGCCATGGTACTAATTAGAAACATCATTCGAGCAATAAACTTAAACACTTCCAGCAAATAATGCCTGCCCCGCCCGCTGCCTCACTCCGGGCTGCCGCCGCCCGCAGCAGCTTCAGCTGCTTGCGGCTCCTCTTCCTCTGGCGGAGTAATTGAAGGGAAACGGTGTTGGAGGAGGCTGTAATTGAAGAGGCCCTGTCACCTCCGCTCTTCTGTAAGTTAGTACCAGGGTCCATCAGCAGCTCCTGGTGGTGTATTAAAACGAAGTGGCAGCTCCCTCTGCACCAGATAGTGCATTCTCTTAGAGGAGACCAAGTGAGAGAAAGAAACTTTGGAGGCTAAAAGCCACTTCAAGTCTTCAGACCGATTGATCTGTACTCTCTTGTTATAATCCGTCTCATCATACTTGAGTTAATGAGGCAAAGGCAGGGGAGCGGAATCTGATGGCCCTTGACAAATTCATTAGGGAGGCTGCGGGACATTTTATTTGACTGTTAAACATCTTGTTTGTTTGGTTTAGGCTGTGCCAACATCAACGCGCTCCTGCCCGAGCCGTGGTGCTAGGCTGCTGAGGGGCATTCCTTCCTGAAAGGGAAGGCAACGCCAGGCAGACAGCTGCATTTTTTTGGGTTTGGATTTTGGGCAGCCTAGAACCTGCAGACTCCTCTAGTCTTTCCCTCTTCCACCATCACACTAGGAACGTTTTTATAAAAATGCAGATTGTAAATAGGAGGTAGGCATATTTTTAGTTATATAAAGTGTGTGCATATTTACAGCTTTAGTCTGAAAATTTCCCAGTTTCTTTTAAAAGTTGAGTCAGATTATAGCAAGAACTGTTTTGTTTTTTTAATGCAAATTGTTTAAGGTCCAGATAAGTAGCCAGATTACTCATATTGTTTTTACTTATGATTAAATACACTTGGAATTATTAAAGTTTTTCTTTCACTGAAGCCCTTATGAGTACAGAGACTTGGAAATTTATTTATTTATTTATTTATTTACTGTACGAACTCCTGACCTTCCACTTGCAAAGCAGGTGGCAGAACCACTGAGCTAAATCCCTGGCCCTGAGACTTGGAAATTTAGAACGTAAATATACAAATATATTTTCAGAAGAAAATTGATATATTATAATGCGAGGCCTTTTATATATCAGATTGGAATCATAACTACTCAGAATGGTGCTAAAATATGTCAGTGAATGGACAGAACACTTCAAAAAGAAGATACTTGTAACTGAAGAATAATGGACAATTAGACTAGAATACTAACCTTATAATATTTTATTATAAGACAATAGAAGACTCAGTTTTTTCAAAATTGCCTTGAAATGTAGTAAATAACCTAAATGTGAAACTTTCTTATGTGAGGAACCCAGTTATATTTTCTTTTAACATAAACAGCCTCACCTTAAATGTTTTGAGAAAGTCTCGCCTTCCATTTATAGGAAATCTGTGGGAGAAAAAAGAAAACGAATGCCTTTTCTCTGTCATTTTTATACCTTCCTGCACTGCTGATGAAGCTTGAACTGGGGCAGGGAATGTATGGCTTTGAAAAGAAATGATTCAGTAGTTCATGTTGTGTTTCTCAGAAGCAAAACCAAGCTAATGGGTGAAATCACTGCTTTAGCACATCTGACACTTATAATCCTGCTTATGTTTCCAGAGAATGCAGAATCTCTAAACTGTTTTACTTTGTGCTGATTTTTACTTAGGAATATATTTACTAGATTAAACTTCAGTGCATTTTTTACTTTATCAGATTAGTGAAACTTAAAAGATATCATTTTGTTATTTGTAGGAATAATATGGAGCCTTTCCATATTCTTTCCTAAGGAGTACACAGATTTTAGATAGAATTTTGTTTTCCAGGAAACATTTTAGAGCCATTCAAGAATGATTAAATTATTTACTTTTATAAAAGCCCTTTCTGGAAGATTTATACTTTTTAGAAAACAAAGGGCTACATGTTTACCTGTATATATTTTTATCCTCAATCATTGAAGCATCTATGTGGTTGCTAAATTTTTAGTTTTTATAGTCTTCAATAACTGATATACTTGCAAAAATGCTTGTTTTTTTAAAGAGAACTTTTTTTGCCAGATTATAAATTGAAAAATAACACACTATTAAATTATCTGAATTAAAAAACTATCACAGTAAAAATAGAAAAGTAAATAGCTCAAACATGATTTGTTATTGTTTAACTAATGAAATTTATTGAAGTAATTATATGTAAGTGTATGTAAGTTTTAACTGTTGTCACCGTTACGCTCTATGTGGCTTATTAAGCGAAGGTACATTCTCCTTTGTTGTTGTTCTTATTCTGGCAAGTGAGCCCATGTTCCAAAACTCTGAAGTGTCACAGAGATTATCTGTGAGCTTTGGTGATAATTATTCTGGAATCAATCTAAAATAACCAGTAATTGAATGTTTGCTTTGAATAAGGCACTGTAGTACTTATTAGTAATTTTAAATGGTCAGGCATGCTGTTAAACAAGGTTTATTTCCTCTCTCACAAAATAGCTTTAAGAAAAAACAACTTGTAATCTTTTTGATTGGTATCCCAAGGGTATTGTTCTCATTTGAACAGTTTGAGCTTAAGATGATGTTATGTCAGATAAAGCAATAGCATTAACTTTGCATATTCAGTAAGCCGGTACTGAAAAATATATTTTTATGTA